CTTCGGTCCCTGCTCCTGCCAACCTAGCAGTTCAAAAGCACCTCAAAGTGCAAGTAGATTAATAGGCACCGCTCCGGTGGGAAGGTAAACGGCGTTTCCGTGCGCTGCTCTGGTTTACCAGAAGCGGCTTAGTCATGCTGGCCACATGACCCGCAGCTGTTCGCCGGCTCCCTTGGCCAGTAAAGCAAGATGAGCACCGCAACCTCAGAGTCATTCGCGACTGGATGTAACGGTCAGGGGTCCCTCTATCTTTAAGGACATCTATAAGAGGCAACAAACTGCCCAACAGCTGATATTACTCTGGCAAACCCTTACATGCATGCAGGAGGAAGTTACAGTCATTCTAACCTGGAAATGGGTAGTGCCAACTGGACTTGCTAATTAATTTCTAACTACTGAAGATTATTAACCACGACTTCCTGTGAAGCTCTTGCCCAGTTGGAAGACTCTGCCTCTGCTCTCTATCAGTTATGCAGTGATGGCAAAGCTATCAGAAGTTTCTTGTCAGAAAGCCAAATGGTAGCAATTTGTGGGCTACAAATGCCAACCGCTGAACTTCCTTGCGAACAAAAAAAGTGTGAGAAAAATCGTTCCAAATATTTCACGTGGCTGCTTCCAGAAACCAAGTTCTGTTGCACAGCTATAGAGCGAAGTTAACCAACAGCAGGAACTTCCAAACTGTTAATACGATTAGAATTAAGTGAACTATGCAACCTTATCACAGGAATCCACATTAACGTCATTATATTTCCTAACTAAAAGCACCTGAAAATGCATTTCATGGTAAAAAGATACAAGATTAGTAGGCAGGAAGCAAAATCCTGTATCTTCAGCTGCTTTTGGCATATATAGAAAATGGTGCAAATACTAAGGCAAAGTTCAATTTTATTTCTGAAATAGGGCTCAAACGAAATATTACTGGAGGTATGCAACTAGGACTGAATATTAAATACTGACTCAGAACTAATGCAGTGGCCAGTATCTCTTGCATCTCTCTCTGTTGCTATTTTATCACAGTTGCTGGTTACCTTTTTTCTTGCCTTTCCTCTGAGGAGCGTGAGGCAATTTCCAGTCCTCCTCTTCCATTTTATTCTCACAACCCAAGTCAGCAGGGTTGCCATATTTTGAACTATGGATTGCTATGATGGCTCTACCCATGAAAAAGAGGATGAGTCTGGAAAAAGAGGACACATGGCAACCCTAGGAAGACAGTGACTGGACAAGGTGCAACTTCATGGCTGAGTAGAGATTTGAACCTTCCTATCCCAGGTCCTAGTATGGCACTCTAATTTTACTGGAACTACAGCAAGCCAAACATCCAGCCATATGAAAGCAAAATTCAAATTATGCAGTAACACTTAGGATAGAAAGCCTGATAAATAACAAACAGTGCCAGTAACTAAGACTGGGGTATCTCGGTAAGCAGCATCTGTCTAGAAAGCCCTCATCATCATTTCTGGAAGCCAAGTTACAGAGCTCAGATGGAATGCACACATGCTCACTCACTTTCACGAATACTGGCTGCATACACGCTATTCCTGTAAAGCACATTCAAACTACAATCTGGGTTATTAGGAACGGCAACTGTGTCAAGGCTAAACTACAGAGCCCAGGATTCTCTGAGGGAGAGAATGTACTTCGAATGTGCTTTAATAGGTACAATATGTACAAGGTCATTTTCTTAGCCAGTGCATATGCCTGTAACCCTTTTATCAAATACTGGCCTCTCCAAAAGACAGCAGTATGCTGCTCACAGGCTTACCCTACAATACGGAAGTACTGAGTATCGAGTAGCCTTCATGCAAGTCCTTAAAAGGTCCTTTGTGCTGCTAGTGTTCTGGAAATCACAGGTTCTTTTAAAATATAAGACAAATTTCTTGTTTCTAACTCTGAAGGTGGCAGAAAAGATGGTGCATTCAATGGTTCCAAAGTATTCTTCAGAGCAAAATAAGTAATATGCAAGTAAATTCTGCTCGTGGTGATCTATGCTTGTTGTGGTGAACAAGCACTCTAAATCATTCAGCGATGCAAGATCAAAATGAGGGTTTTCACTTAGTGAGAATTATTCAGATGGTCTCTTTAACGCAAGTAGTAGAGTAGGAGAGCTGAAAATAATGCCAAAATATTTCACATCTGGTAACCAATGCACACCTCTGGTTTCAGATAATACATGGGTAAAGGGACCCCTGACCATTAGGTCCAGTCACTGACGACTCTGGGGTTGCGGCGCTCATCTCACTTTATTGGCCGAGGGAGCCGGCGTACAGATTCCAGTAAATGGCATTTCCTTGCGTTGTTCTGGTTTCGGTGTTCCGTTGTGCCAGAAGCAGCTTAGTCATGCTGGCCACATGACCTGAAAAAACTCTGCAGACAAACGCTGGTTCCCTCGGCCTGTAAAGTGAGATGAGCGCCACAACTCCAGTGTCGTCTGTGACTGGACTTAACTGTCAGGAGTCCTTTACCTTTTTAAAAAATATTTAGTATTAACTCTAGAAGTGTATACTTGATTCGAACTGAACTGGGGAATGGCTGGGGAAGCCCAGCCAGATGGGCAGGGTATAAATAATAATAATAATAATAATAATAATAATAATAATAATAATAATAATAATAATAATTATTATTATTATTATTATTATTATTATTATTTATTTGTACCCCGCCCATCTGGCTGGGTTTCCCCAGCCACTCTGGGCGGCTTCCATAGAAACCAAAAATACACTAAAATATCACACATTAAAAACTTCCCTCAACAGGGCTGCCTTAAGATGTCTTCTGAATGTCAGGAAGTTGTTTATCGCTTTGACATCTGATGGGAGGGCGTTCCACAGGGCAGGCGCCACTACCGAGAAGGCCCTCTGCCTGGTTCCCTGTAGCTTTGCTTCTCGCAATGAGGGAACCGCCAGAAGGCCCTTGGCGTTGGACCTCAGTGTCCGGGCAGAACGATGGGGGTGGAGACGCTCCTTCAGGTATACTGGACCAAGGCCGTTTAGGGCTTTAAAGGTCAGCACCAACACTTTGAATTGTGCTTGGAAACGTACTGGGAGGGATAGGGAATTCATGCTTAGACAGAAGGCATATTAGTATTGAGCTATGCCCAGCTGATTGTTCAGATCTTCTTATCTCTTATCCTTATTTATAAGGAAGTTGAGAGTAAAATTTTAAGGAGTCTAACTCCTATACAGTGGTGCCTCGCAAGACGAAAAGAATCCGTTCCGCGAGTCTCTTCGTCTTGCGGTTTTTTCGTCTTGCGAAGCAAGCCCATTAGCGGCTTAGCGCTATTAGCGGCTTAGCGGATCAGCTGATAAGCGGCTTAGCGGCTTGGGAAAAGGGGGGGGGGAGAGGAAAAAACCCCTGCAGGAACTCGCAAGACATTTTCGTCTTGCGAAGCAAGCCCATAGGAAATTCGTTTTGCGAAGCACCTCCAAAACGGAAAACCCTTTCGTCTAGCGGGTTTTCCGTCTTGCGGGGCACCACTGTACATATATGCACAGCCAGCAAACTGCAGTTTGTTTTCTGGTAATAAATCACAATGTGAAGTGATGATTTGTTATTGAGTTACAATTGACGCTTGTTTTATCTATAGTTTCACGATAACTCAGAAGGAAACAACTTTCCTTAACCATGGTTTGTTTGGTGACCTAATACTCACCAAGCTACACAGGCACAAGCAGCTGAAAAAAACCAAAACTGTTCACCAGACTGTTCCCCCCCACCCAAAGATGTCCTCACTCTTAAATCTGCCTGACAACAAGCTCTCTCTTCTCCATTCTCCCAATTCCTCCATGACAAGTTGCCCCTCACAAGTTAGACCCAGTTGCTCTGCAAGGAGAGGGGGAAATTTTTAATGATCATTTATGTCAACTGACTAATTAACACACACCTGGCTATCCTGACTGCTAAACCCACTTACAACAAAAATAATTAACTCTTCACAGGAACAAAACACCGATCTTTCAATACAATACAAAAAGATACTAGCAGAAAACCTGTAAAAGTCAATCTCATTCCATTAGAGCAGTAGAATAGAGCTAAGGAATTTGATTAAGAGTACATTTGGTGTTTCTGTGATGCGGGTGGGGTGGGGGGAAATTAGCTTGACTCAGGGCATAACAGGAATGGCTGAAAACTTATGAGAAGATTTCCCTGGCCTGTTTGCACAACCAGGAGCTAGTGACAAGGTGAGACAATGCCAGTACAGGATGTCAGGCAGGCAGTAAAGAGTAGGCAGGAGTAACTAAGCTTTGGAGAAGCAAACTATGGTTTGTTTGCACGTCTAGGAGACAGCAAACTACAGCTTAAGAGTTATGTACAAACACAGCCAATGTTTTAAACTGCTTTACAATAACAACAACATATGATAGCTGAACTTAGGTCCAGTTTCAAATCTCAGCTTATCCATGGACTTCTTGAGCGGCTCTGAACATGTCCCTAACTCTGAGTTCGCAGCATAAGATTTCATCAATTTAGTTGCCTATTTCTCAGTGTATACGCAAAATAAGTATTTCAAACTACTACTACTAAGAAAATCAGCACCTGTCACTTGGTGGCAGAAAACATGTTTACAAAATCAAGGGCCACAGAGAAATCAACTAGGATTTTGCCTGATTGCATTTACTGCGCATTAACGGCATGGCCCATCTACTTTAAATGTACTCCTGAACTTCATTTACCATACTCCTTTTAAGTCCACTGGAGACAAAAAAAAATTATATTGCACTTCACTTTCCAATGTCCAACCAACACCGCCCTGACTATAGGCTGATGATGATTTGTATATGTATACAGAAAGGGAAAGTAGCTCATATGATGTCTCAACACTGTTATATCAGTAACTTGGCCGACCGACTCATGAATATTTGGGATCATAATAGAGAACTATATGCATTGGGAAACTTATTTTACTGCACTCTATCCTTGCAAGAAATCAGCACCGATAAGAAATGGAAACTAAAAGCCAATGCAACATAAGCCTGTTGCAAATAATAATTTATACTTACTGGTGGGAAGTCAAAATCTATCTGGCTTGCTAAGTTTAATATATAGTCAATTCGAAACTGATTCTCTGGATTGGCTAGTTCAACTGGAGGTGCCAGGTTTCCCATTGCTGTCACTATTGTCTGTAGAAAAAGAGATAAAATGTTATCAGAAAGTGACGGGTTAAAATTTTAGTTCAAAGCAACCAGGAAAGGCTTGTAGACTTACCTCTATAGCTTCTTTAATATTATTTTTAATATCCTGAATTTTCATTTTTTTCTCCCTGTAACCAAGAAAATAACAAATTAAATTTCTAGATCATGGAGAGATAGCTTTGAAGAGGAAAACAAAAGTCAAAGAACTTCTATCAAGAAAAATAATCTTCAATAAATCATCTAGCCAGCCAGCTGCTAGACACCAAATCTAAGTTTGGAGGGGAGCGGGATATAAAAGAGTTGAGGAATGGATTCTGATTTCAAACGCATGTTTCTTGTAATATATCTGAAACAACCTAACAAAGTTGCATTGTCTTAAGATTAAGGAAATCACTTACACTGCTTTGGGTATCAGAAACTCCAGGGATAAGTTCCTAAACAGGGACTCCACAGTTGTTCAACTGACAAAAATACACACATTGGCCTAGTTCACATGTAAGCCAAACTATGACAGAGTGTGAATGAGTAAATGTGCTGGTGGTTATTTAGAAAATTGCAGCTGCTTCACTTTGCCCCTGATGCTGCTGCTGAGCTGCCAGAAGCTTAAGACAAAATTTGGTCTGTGCCAACCTGAGCTCATGGTCTGTCTCACCCCAAGTCAATGAAGGGCATTTGTTCTTGACATATTGCTCCTAGTATGTTTGGGGGAGACAAAACATGAACCTGGGTTTGCACATAATGCTAAGCCAAACCATGGTTTAGCTCAGGGTGGTCCAACACGCAGCTCATGAACTGCAAGTTCCAAAGGAAAGTCACTCCTCGCAACGGCCATTCTCTTCCATTTTTATCTTCATGTTCTTTCTACAAATCCAACTGAAAGGGGCAACACTGGCTACGTGGGGCTGTTCCCACAGAGGAAATCCTGTCTCTCAACTGGTTTGTGCTGGGGTGACAACCAATGGATCCGAATAGTGGGCAGCCCCTTTATGGGTGGAGGCAAGCAGAGATTGGCTAAGGCCACGGCAATGGGGATGGGGGGGGGGAATTTTCCATAAGCATCCCAGTTATGTGGCACAAGCCATCCCAGCATTGGTTTTCCATACAACGCCCCTCCGAGTAAGAGAAAAAATTCTCTCAATCTTGTAGGAGAGTTTGGGACAGAGAAAATTATCACTGGCTCCTACACAGACAGATGAAAAGTTTCTTCATGTAGTCAGGCAGGCTCTTTGAGATCATTTCTGGTTGTACCAATGCAAAATTATTGTATACAGTAAGAAGCTACAAATAATTATTGCCAGCAGTAAAATATCGGGAGCAAATAAAAATGTGCTCTGCTCTAAACATTTGCGCTATGGTAGCTTGCAGGAGTAGAAAAGGTGTGCAGAAATACTTCTCTTCAACTATTCACATTCCAAAAAGTGAAACCAAAAGGTTATTCTGCAACTAGATTTCCTGAGTCTATAGAAGTTAAGTATCTGAGTATGGGATGAAGGCATCTTAAACCTAGTGCACATTCATGGAAATGCACACAAATGGATACTAAAGATGTCTAGAGCATGATATGGCACATCACATTTGCTTTGAATTGTTAAGAATGAACATGCATTATAGAACTCTTGGGTGTTTCCTAGTACAACATTCTTTTAGATCCTGTGATCAATCCAGACTGTGGCTGGGTTATTCTTAAAAAAAGAAAAGCCAGTGTATTGCTTTGCCCATAGCCCTCACAATACTAAACCAGAATGGAGAGCCCATCAGCCCCAACCAGAATAGCCTTTGATAGGTGATGATGGGAGCTGTAATCTAGCCACACGTTCCCCATTCCTGGATTAAATGTTACTGACTTGTATTTATTTTATAATTAGAATCAGTTCCTTTCACGATTCAATTTTTTTAAAAAAAAAATATGGTCAAAATACTAACCCACTTAACTTCAGAAGCCAGGTTATTGCACTGTAGAAGAGTTTAATGGCAACGTACAATGGCAGGGAGGATACTTGCATGAGAGAATATGGGTGTCCAAAAGTACTGAAAGGTGTTCCTATTTCTACCTTACCTTTAATCAAACTAGTGTACAGACTGCAGAAAACAGTTTAAAAAACACAAGTGCAAGACCGATAAAATTTACTTACATTCACACTAATGAGTGTGTGCAATCACTTTCTGGAGGAAAGAAAAACCCATCTGCAGCTTCCATTCTCTCAAAAGTGGAAAAAGCTAAGAACTAAAGAACTTGCACTGACACACAAATGCTATAAGATCTGGTGAAATCCTAAATACCTAAGCCTAGTACATTCTGTTCCCAGAGTAGCCATTCAGATGCCTCTGGGAAGTCCACCAGCAGGACATGAGTGCAACATGAGTTCCCCAGCTACTGAAAAGGCATATTCTTTTGCAAACTGAATCTGTATAGTATGTACCTAGGCCAAAAACTTGCTGCCTAACTCTTAAGCCTCCAGCTGCTGCGTTATTATGGAAGAGCTGCAAATATTGTTACTGAGGCGGAGGAAGAACGAGACCTACAGAGATGTCAATCATCACAACTAGGGTGAAGGAAGCAGAAGGCAACATGGCACAAAGATGGCCATTATACAGTGAAAGGAGCTGAACTCACAAGTAGATTAGATGAAAGATGCATATATCTGGTTACCCTGGTCACCTTGAAAACACTAAAATTCAGGACAAAAATTGCATTCTGGAGACACCATGTCATTATGAAAGAGGAAATATTTGCTGTCATCCCCCAAAGCTAATAAGTGTTCTACACAGTATACATTATTTAGGTGGTTGGGAATTCCTGTAAAAAGTAGGGATTGCATGGAGTCTTTAGGCCTAGACTGCTTCCTTCCAAGGCACCCATCTATCTGGCGGTTCCCTCACTGCGAGAAGCCAAGTTACAGGGAACCAGGCAGAGGGCCTTCTCGGTAGTGGCACCCGCCCTGTGGAACGCCCTCCCACCAGATGTCAAAGAGAACAACAACTACCAGACTTTTAGAAGACATCTGAAGGCAGCCCTGTTTAGGGAAGCTTTTAATGTTTGATGTATCACAGTATTTTAATGTTCTTTTGGAAGCCGCCCAATAATAATAATAATTATTATATTATTATTATTATTATTATTATTATTATTATATCAGGAGCTCCTTATTGTTTTACTTTGGGTCCAGCATTTAGCTTAATGGTAATTCAACTCTTTAGTTTAGAAACATATTTTGCCCTGATTATTAAGCACCCTCTTTTCTGCCGATCTATTACAAAGAGTATTTCCCAGTACTCAAAGTGATGGCTCTTAATTCAGAACATAATGCTGACTCTCCTGACAAATCCAGGGGAGTTAGCAAACATGTTCAATATTATTATCTGAAGGCTAAAATGTTCTTAATATGAAAGTATCATTGATCTGAACTAACCTTGGTTTACAAGCTTGTAGTTCATCTGGAGAGAGCTTAACCTCAAGTCCAGATTTGAATGACATGCTGAGCATAGTACAGCGGCAAGTGGGAGCAAAGCTGCTGTGTACTCCTTCTAAGTCAAAGTTTTGCTTAATGGGATGTATTATTGCGTGATCTGCTCAGTATTATGGATTAAAACCACCGTTCTACAAAAGCCACCTTGCATCTCCCTATAGACCTCAGTGCATGATACCAACCAATCCAAAAACATCAAGAGTGCAATCCTATACCCTGAGAGTAATACTCACTGAACTCAGTCAGACTTACTTCTAAGTAAAAATACACAGGATTATGCTGTTAATTATGCTTTTCCTTTACCACCGTGGTCCCAATAATATTCCTATTAATTGACAATGGTCTGTTTTGAAGCCTATACACCTTGATAATATAACTGATCTATTATTTTGTAGTCACTTTTATGCTTAAACATAACCCTTTGAGAAGCACACATTCTCCTTAGCATGGCTAGAAAGAAAAGTCAATACAACATTCCACACCAGCCAAAAGACGTTATGTGCAGTACCTGTCAAAATTAAAAAGGTTTTCCGGCTGCTCTTTCTTAGTTTGCCGAATTTATGAAACTATTCTCCACTTTCTTAAGCCATTTGAAAGAAAGTAATTTTAATTGTGCTCTCCCAACTTTCATTTACATCATTGGATTTAGCACATCAAATCATACCTAAAGACCTTGGCCCTCATAGGAGGCTAAGACTTGGTCTGAGCCTGCAACAGTCTAGTAATGGAATAAATTGCCTTGCAGTGCAAGTTTTAATGAAGGACAACTAAAAATTCTATTGTAATGAAGACACCAGTAATTTTTCTAGTCGATAATGCTATCATATGGATGTGAAGCTTGCCCAATACACAGTGCAAAGAGGCATGCTCAAAAACAGCTGTGTGCTTTTTGAACCCCAATTATTATTAATAATGAGTGCATAACACTAGGTGCAAATCTATCCAACAACTCACTACATACACCCTTGCTATGATGAGTAGTATCAACTAACGTGTGGCACTCCAACTCCAGCCAGCATTGTCAATGGTTAAGGATAATAGGAGCTTTAAGGTGGCTCAATTCAAGGCATGTACGACACAAAAAGCAGCAGTTATATGGAGCCAGTGGTGATTCTTGAGCAGAGTGTCATATGCTCCCAGCTATTACCTGGCCCTGTTAGAAGACTTTGCATCCAAAGATATGTAACAAAGTTCAAATGTTTAGTGGACTTCCAAGTTACTGATAAGCCAATTAAGTGATGATGTACTTCAAAGTGGTGCAAAATTCCTGCAATTGACAAGCTGCTAGGTAGTCATCATTAACACAGGAGCACTCAAGTCCCTATTTCTGTCTGTGTTGCCATGGCCCTATGGCATGTTCGGTAAACAAAGAGTCTTATTACAGCAACGAACGTATAACTTCATTTTGTAATATTTACTAAGTGTACATTTTTCCATGACAATGATGCAACATGTTTCCTACATCAAGAGTTCAACCAATAACCTGTCCAAATTCAACCATTCAAAGAAATTTCAACCATTTAAAGAAAATGATAAATCTTTAGTTGCTGACTTAAGCAATGTACAGTGGTGCCTCGCAAGACGAAATTAATTCGTTCCGCAAGTCTCTTCGTCTTGCGGTTTTTTCGTCTTGCGATGCACGGTTTCCCATAGGAATGCATTGAAAATCAATTAATGCGTTCCTAGGGAAACCGCCTTCAGACCA